AGTTTTCACTGAATACTAATCAAAAGAAAAGATGATGATGGTGAAATAAAATACACGCGCGATATTGGAATCGAGAATGCGATATTATGATGGCAATGATTTTGATGACTTATACAACTAACCCAGTGATGCCTTCCTTCTTTCATGAACTGCATTATGTTGTTGTGCGATAATTTTAGTATGTATTATAGCAGACTCCTTTGAATTTAGAAACATCTGACACACATATTTTTGATTTAAAAAAGAAACACCGTAACAAAAAACAATCATTTGAACATGGTATTTATCATACATACATTCACGCACTCGCAGCAGTCATATACAACACAACATATACATTGAATAAAATGAATTTAGCGAGATGATGGAACACTCAAAGCAATGCCTCTCAAACTTTTTTCGGCCAATCGTTCACTTGCGCTATTAAGATCAAAGCTGTCACCACTAAAGCTATTAAAATCAAATCATCTATTATAATTCGTCTTAATAAAAAGTTTATTGTCTTTCGCCGAAATCGCCTACTCCTTCGATGAAGTAATACAGACATGAATTGAAATGATAACAACAGTTCAATAAATGAAATCGTTACCATTACTCAATTCACACATCGATATATTCAGCAGCAATAAATTATTTCACCTGGTCGGCGATACCGCACAACACACTGTGAAGCATTAACTTACACGAAACAAAATGCAAATGACTGAGATAATGCATCAAGAAGTTTCATCCTTAACTGCTCGCACAGCTCGAATCTCACCGCAAAATCGGTTCTTATTTCGAGTCTTAACATCGAGACAAACTCTTCAAATTTCGCCTCGATATCCGAACATCCTTGTAGTTTCAACGTTGTGATTGGTAACTGAAAATAATCAAAATGGTAAGAGCACAATAGTAATAAATTGAATTGAATAAGATAATAGTGAATTTTTTCGCACTTACAGACAGTAACGATGGGTGTGTATTCTGAGATTGTGTAATATGATTAATTTTTAATGATGACAAATGAATACGCGACGCAAATATTTTGTTGATTGATTTGCACGAAAAAGTGATGTCACAGCCAAAAGTTATCATCGAACAGTGAAGAAGAACAAGAAATTATTATTGTTGTTTCATATTGTAAAAATTGAATGCAAAATTTTGGTACTGCATAAGTGACGTGTATGAAGAGGGAAGATTTTTACATGAAGAGACCAGAAAACACTCAAACTAGATGACTGATTAAGTCAATAATAACATAATAACAAAGGTAAAAACTCGCCTTATTTGCTTTTTGTTTACAGAAATGTTGCAGCTGTGTAACAGTGAGATTCGTCGCTCTAAGGTCAACGCTTTGAAGTTGATGACAACAGTTCAATAAACATTCCAAAATTGCATCGTTACCATCATCCAATTCACACATCGACATATTCAGCTGCATTAATCCACTTTCACGCTGAACCTTTAAATTGTTTCATCAACTCACTGTATTCCACCAAAACTAATCTCCACTAATTTATTCACTTTGAAATTGACACACTTAAGCACTAACCATGCAATATCCATTGAACGAATTAATCATAACAAATTTTCCTATATCTTAATGTATCAATTATTATTACATACTATATCATTATCAATTATCACCATATCATTTAGGCAGTGTTTTCAGTTCAATGAATCAATCAGTTCAGCATGAACAAAATAATGTATACGGAAAGCTTTTACCGTATAAATTTCGTCGACTCCACTCGCAGCAATATTCAAACGCTCAAGTTTCAAATCTGAATCCAATATTGTTGTTATATGCTCTGATTGAACCGACAGATTTTGACTCAAATTCAAATCTTTCAGATTTATGCAACCTAAAATTTTGTGAAACTTAAAAAAAACAAGAAAAACAAATTAACAACAACAACAACAGTGAACGGTAATAATATGATGCATGTCTAAGATCAGAAAGTTCTAGACATATAACCTGATGAATACACACGCCTAGCACAGCCTAAATTTATAAATCCGCTTAACATATTTAAAGGAATACACAAATGCATTGAATGCACTGTATATCGGATCGTTATTTATTCTACGCCATTCAGAACGAACTCACCGACCTACGATCTTGAAAATTATGAAGAGCTCCAGAATTAAATCAAATTAGTGCATCTCAAATCACACTGGCTTTTTTTAGAGGATTGGAATCGAGGGAATTCGCCTGACCACTGGAGGATAGTAATCAATATTAATGACCCATACAGCATTAACCGTAACTATTAAATGCTTCTTGTAACACTATAAAAAATCTTCTTTTCCTTACAAGCCACAAAATATATCCACCATCCTAAGAGCGATAAATTTTATCAGTAGTGAACAAAACATATACGTTAACTGCATCATATGTTATATCTATTATCAAATAAGTACCTTGAATAGTTTGAATCAGTTGCGAAACAGTCGAAGTCTGAAGATTGCAAGATACCAAACTGAGATGTACCAGATTCGCACAAACACTTATCAGAGCATTCAAACCATCATCAGTGCCTATTTCATTGTAACTCAAATCCAGATATGTTAACTGAGCGAAATTTCGAGCCGGATTTGATTCCAATAGTAGTCGAACGCTCATACTTTAAAAAAATATCTCGCATTGTATTCAACGCATACGCAAGAAAATTAAGATGTTAAATATGTTCTTGAAAACGATAAATAAAAATAACCTAACAAATGCAAGAAGTGAAATAATATCATTGTGAATTTTCAAAAAAAAACAACTGAAAATTGATTAGTGAAATGAACGAACCTATTTAATTGACAACATTGCATCGATAAATTTTGCAAACTGCCTCCATGTTGAGCAATACTTTCGATGAAATGATTCGAAATGAGATTATTATTAATAAGAACTGAGGATAATGAGTTACATTTGAATGCCTTCAGTGCGCATATCAATGCTTGTTTATCGTCATCATCACCACTTGTATTCAAACTGATATTCGTTAAACACAACCGACCGCTGGTCATTGCTTCTGATAATGCCTTCACAATATCATTCATCTTACCTGAAATGAAACCGAAATACATTTATTAGTTTCAATTTACACACTCTTCATTATTATTCCAATTATTACTACTACTATTACATTGTTATTACATATTTGCTAATTTAATTAGTGATCACAATAGCTCATTACGAGTTCATGCTTCTCTGATATCATCAACAATCACTAATTTCACATTCTTCCTTTCATGGAATCTTCTCTTCCACCTAGCTTACGATATTAGCATAAATCATGCGGCTTCATTACACTCTAACTTTCATTACTGATTTGGCGAGCATAAAGGTGTAGACTATCCTCTTATATCGTCCAATGATTTCTAAGGAGATGGACTCAAAATGGGCTCGAAAATTATTAATATTCTTCATCGTTGCATGCAAAACTCATCTACCCAGCTAATGCAAAAGATGATGAGGTATTTTACACACAAACGGGTAAAAACTCTAAGAAAAACTTGAACAACACAATAGGAATATTCAAACTGATATCATCTGTAACAATAAGAATTTATAAGATGAAAGCTGAAAATTGCAAACTGTATAACGAACATTTTGTTTTAATGCTATACAAATGTGCAGCGGACGGTGGCATCCAACCGAAAAGTCTGCACTCGAACTGGTAATTCGTTTTTTGCTGAATGATGAGATCGAGCGGTGTCTCATCGTCCAGCTCACACTCACAACCGTCACTGCTATCCTTATCGAACAAATGCAACGCATCAAATTGCCCGTCTGCACTCATCTCAGCCTTGCATCGTTCCTTCACTTCCGCTATTCGAATCGTGCTTAATTTTTTTCTTGTTTAAAAATTATTCATTATGAACGAAATTATTGCAATGTATTCCCGATAAAAATTCAAGAAAATATTTCATTCTATTGTATTTACGTGAGATTTCACTATTTACTCCGCTAGTGAACGAGCGTTTTGCAATTAAGTCTCTTCGAAATCACTCAAACTATCACAGTTAACTGCACATCCAGGTTTGATGAGGTCAGCAAATCCAGTCTGATAAAAACCAATTAAGTATGAAGAAAGTTATGAGACGATGTATGAACAAGAGATTCCGGCGATATCTGATGAATGAGCGAAAAGAAACGATACCGAATGCTTGGCACTAACCTGGCGAATGGAATGGCTTTCGTTTTCAAACGCATACCACTGGGATGAGCAACGAACACCACTTTAATTAAAAGTAAACGACTGTTGACGTTGTCAACCAATGACGACGAAGACGAGGACGCTGATAAAGGTGTTGATAAGGGCACCGATGAAGATACACACTCCCTTGATGTTGTTGCATTATCATTGCTCTGATTCACCGTTACCCTCGATGCTCTATTCGTAGCAGTTGGATTTCGGCGTGTGGCTGACTTCACAATAACGTTTCTCGTCGATGGTAACGATCCATCCCTATCGCCGTTATCAACAGTCCAATCGACCGATACATCGACTCTATCGCTCGCATCTGAGAGCATCTCGTCATCTGATAACCTAAATCAATGCGTTTCATTACAAACGCAATTGCTACTAGTATCACTACCTCCCATTCTACTGTTGATTGCACCATCCAAACTGTATCTATTATCATTCGTCACCACAATGACACAACTAAGCAAATTACTGCTATATCATGACCATGCAATTCACAACACTAATTTTTTTAACATTCATTTTCTTGATTTAAAAAGTCCAATGTGCTCCATACACTTGAAATTATTCATTCAGTTGCCCGATTGAATTATCTTGAAAGTAGGTAAATAAATGACCAATGTATATTTGTTAAGAAACATAAAAATGCACATATTTATGCAACGGAATAAAATTGAGAGAAATAATAATAAAGGGGAGAAAATAAACGAACAGAAAGCATTACTCAATAACTCGATGACACATCTGTTTGGATGCAGACGATCTCGGTTGATCCGTATGAGAGGATGATAGCGATGTGAAGGTAGATGAATGACGTTTACGAGAAGTTTTACTTGTGTTCTGTTGCTGTGTTCTGGACGATATTATCGGTGGAAAACTGACATCATCAGTTGTGCTTCGTGATGATTTGGTACGCGATGTGTGTATATCTTTCCCTAATTCGTCGATATCATCGTACAGAAATCCATCAGAATCGTCATCATCCACCACAGAAATTCGCTGACTTTCCATTGTCGTTCCATCATTTCGAACCTTTTCAAAATAAATTATTATCATCTGAATTTTGATTATCATTTGTTGATCAATGAAATAATTCATTCGAATGCAGTGTAACCAAATGAAATACCTCAGAATCAGAACAATATTTCAAGCGCAATCAGTACATCAATAAAGTACATCAACAAATAACAGTCAGAAACTGATCATGTTGTACTGAATTGATAATTTATTCGAACAGATATCCATGAAATAAGCCACTGAGTGAGAGGCAGATAATCATTTGTTTACTATTAAAATTACCATAACGTTAGATTTCGAGAGTATCTAGTCATAAACATAACCCTGACAATGAAGAGAATACGCCTCACCACAACTGAATCAAAGCTGTGAACATGATTCAGAACGGGTTCTTTGTTGCATTCGTCCGCATACAGTAACGCATCGTCGTCGACGTTGATTAAAGACGTTCCACGTTGATCCTCTTCGTTTCTCTTGTTGCATTTCTGCTTCTCACTTCTTTCGATCGCCAATCGTTTCGGAGGAATCACGTTAATACTATCATTCGTTCGAACATTCGCTGACATTTCAAACATTATTTGATAATTTTCACTTGTAACAGTTCACTGCCGTACCATCACTATCATTACCATCAATAGTATTGTAACAACGAAAATATATCAAAAACTACTTAAAACAACACCATCTATACAACATAAACAGTACTCATTTGGCTGGCTTGAATTACTAGTTGACTTGCATTGAATATTGAATACCAATTTGGCTCGGTGCATCTCAATTAAAAGCTTTCTATTTTATAGTTACATGCAGAGACGTTGTATGATGGACCGTGCATATCAAATCGTCTCAAATAATCAGCACACCATTTGAAATGCGTCATTAACCTTGTTTCAACTTCATCTCCATCGCAGACTCGAGTCGTTTCGCCTCTTGTAAATCCTCATCTTCAACCATACCACCTCGTATTGCATTACGCAGAAAATGAATCGCCATCCACTGATCAGGATTTTTGATTTGAACTTTTGCGTTGAATTTCAGCAGTAGACTGATCATTGACGTTGCTCCACGATCACATGCCTCCATTAGGGGCGTCAAACCACCACTGTCCTTCAAACGTGACATTTCAATCAAAGCACCACTGCTTGTTTTAAATGCATTGAATATTAAGAAATCTGAACGTCAAGTGGAACATTTCAAGTTCTCGAAGAGCAATTCTTGTGGCACTGAAGTTCGTATCCGCCATTAAATCAGTCATTCGATGGAGTGATACTGACGTTTTCTTATAACACGTTTTCAACAGACGATCAAAAGGAAGTATTCTCATTTTAAAAAAAAACTTCAAATTGATTTTATTCAATTCAAGAACGTATAATAGAGATTACGGTTCGTTTCCCGTCAGCCGAAAGAGTGCCCTCACGCGATCGAATATCCGGTTTCGCACCCGATTCAAGCAATATCCGCACATTTTCTAGTTTTTGGGCACCGATTGCCTCATGCAAAGGTGTCCATCCACCCTCATCTTGCGCATTCAAGTTGTATCCCTTCAATATTATTATTATCATTATCACTAATTTTATTATCATATCATAATTACAGAAACAACAATGATTATCACTACTCAAACAATCACGCTAATTGAATAAATATCCACTGGAGAATGCTGACAAAAATGATAAATCCTCAGTAATATTCGAAAGGCATTCATCTGCTCGTATGATCACTGAATGAACAAACCAAACNGCTTGTATGACCACTGAACGAATATAATCAGAGTGGTTTTATCACCATCACCACTTCCAGACTGCACATATTCAAGAGGTCACAGTAACAACAACTCAGTGCTTACAAATGAAATGAACTGAACAAAAAACCTGACAGAAAATTGATCAAATGCAATCAGAATGACAAAACAATTTTTAAAATGCTTTGCAAAAGTTGATTGCATTTGTTTACAAACATGTTCGTGAGATTGTGAAATTATTGTAGATAATTATCGATAAAGAATTAATAAATAAATAAAGAAAAGCGCTGAAATTTAGCCTAATCGAAACGAAAAGAACGAACCGCATTTATCAGTGTTTTCAAGTAATCACAATCATCTCCACGAGCTGCCTCATGCAGTCTCGTCTCACCGTACGAGTTTATCACCTTATCTTTTTCACGTTTTATTCGCTCGTCAACACTTCGCTTCGTTGATTCCGTTAAGCATCTCTCCATGATTTCACTCTCACCCATCTCATCCCATTCATCAGAGTACGAACTTCGTGCATCATTATCGCTATCACTATCATTATCATCGTTATCGCATGTATTTCGATCCATTTCCCGTTTCGCTTCGTTCATTTTACATTCAGTTAGCTCAATTAAACTTTCATCTGCGTTTGTTTTGCGTAGATATTCCAGCATTACTTCGTATAAATCGTACTGAAAGCATTCATCAATTTCGAAAACAGGCATTATCTAGATTGAATTGAGTAACGTTTAATACTCGTATTATTTTTTCATTAAAGCAATTTTTTCGTGACAAAACGAACAACCTTCTGTGTTTTCGTAACAGCCAACGATTCGGCCTTTCTGAAAAGTTCCATGACACGACAGTTCGATAAAGTTTTCACGAAAGATGCTGTTGTTGCAATACAAATGGCTGTCTCAGCACGCTGCAAATGATTTATTGATATCGTTATCACATAACAGTTATGTGATTCGTTTTAGTCGGTCCTTCCATCGAATAAACAAGTGGCGAATAAGCAAAATTTGGGGATGAACACTGACTCGCAAACAACGCAAATCAAATTAAATAATGAACACCTTTCTATCGGAAAGACTACGAAGCTGTGATTCCAATGAATCGACCTTGATGAAATTTTGATAGGCTTCTTCAAAACGATTCAACTCTTTTGCAGTGACCGCAACTGACACCAACGCAGTGATCCGTTCATTCAAAGTAGCCGTTGACGAACAGTTTGACATCAACTTATAGAAATCTAATGACACTTCTCGAAGATCAATCTTCAACATTTTTACATTAAGTGAATGACACTAATGAATCACATCGCAGTCTTTTTGTGTTGCGATTTCGACTTTCATTTCGTTATATAAAACAGCAATAAAAATAATAGTTCGAAAAAGTAATAATAATAATAACGATAATAATGATCAATACAACATGTTAAGCAATTCCTTTCTAATATCAAATGGAATTGGCTTAAAAACCCAACTGCAACTCAAGATGTTGAAATTCGCAGATGAAATTTTGTAAAGCGATTTCTCAACTTCGTTTCGACTTAATTTTGCTTATACAGTAATGACAACGATAACAGTAAAAATATTAACGAGAGCAATGATAATCACAACTGAATGATTAAATTGTTATCACTTACATTATAAAACTCATCAGCAATTTTCTCGTAAACTCGAGCTTTTCTGCGCTCACCGAACTGACTGATTTCCTTGAGTCGTTCCATTGTTTTGTAAACTGAAAATAAATTAAATTAGATCGCAATTTCTCTTTTGCACAACATCACAATTATCGTTCAATAATAATGATAAAGGTTAATAATCACTATCTTGTTGTGTTATTCAAACTGTAATAATCTATCAAATTCGGCTTCGAATAAATCATTTAAAGCAAATCAAATAATACGAATGACAGAGACGTACCAACAATAAGAAGTTGTTGAAATGAAAATTGTTCATTGATATCTAACTTCGTATAGCTTTTACTTGAATACATTGATATCAGATCCCATTTCGCACCTTCGAAGTCTTTCACTCGTGCTTTTTCCTGAACGAATCATTTCCTACTGAATGAATGTGATCATTCCGATGATCGAACGCCTCACAGAAGTGACAAATCAATAAAAAAATAATCACTTTCTTGACTACGATCTTCTATTCTACAGTTCCTTACAGACTACGACCACTAACACTAACTATAAGTATGAAACGTCAAAGATCGCAATGTACCGCAATAAAATCAGAGCGTTACACTACGCAATAATTAATAACATTCTTGTAACAAAGAAAGTAAAATTTAAATCAATAAGTAAAGTGATAATAATAATTGCAATAATAATAATAATAATAATAATAATAATAATAACAATAATAATAATAGCAATAATCATGAGAATGAACGACAAACAATCGAATGGCCACAACTGACTGAATCTAAAATGAACCTGCGCAAGAATGAGTTGTGTTTCAATTAGCTCACGATTCGATAAGTTTTTGGCCACGTGAACCAATTCGATGGCAGTTTTGAGTCGTTGTTCACCGGCAAAATCCAGCTTTGATAACAAACATCTGTACTGAAGATCATAATCTGAATTCCTGCTGAAATTTCGATTGATTAAAGCAATTTTCTAGTACTCAAAACGTCACAAAATAAGAACAACACTCCGTGAATAATCCCTCACAAGTATCGACACTTTGCTTGAAACAGAATCGGTACCTTTCAGTGAATGGGTTCCTGGAGTTTGACTTCAATTGTAAGCCTCAGTGAAAGTGTTAGGCTAAAGCTGAACCTAATCTTCAGCTTAAACCAGCCCAAGAAACATTTACATAGGCTCAATTTTGCATTAATAGAATCAATGATGTAATTGACAATAATATTCACAATAATAATTATAGTTATAATAATAATAATAATAATGCGGATATAATACAAAACATCAACAACAATCAATTATAAACTTGCATAGCATAAGCCATAACAGCATTATGATGTGTACGTGCCAGTTGAAATAGACCGAGTTTATCACAGATTTGGGACAAGACCTGACGGACACGTGCGCGACGACATAGGGAATCGTTTCCGATACGAACCGCTCTGCAATGAGTCCGTGACGATGATCATAATGAACTGATAATAACGGTTCTAGCAATAAAAACAGAACAGATCATAGTGTGAATACCTCTGGTCGGAATCGATCTCGTGTCCTTTTTCTGCCAAATACGTTATACACTTCTCGCACCAGTGTTTACCCTGTAATTTCCTATTATTCTTACCGATATCACTGTGGCTAACATCACTGTTACTTTGCTATTATCATTACGATCACTTGTATTATCAGCGTCTTCTTCTAATCCTTTTTATTGCATCATGATATATTACAATATTCTATTTTTGGAATAAGCGTTTTAGCTGCAGCAATCAAAAGTAGAAATTGTTTCGGAACTCCTAACTAAAATCGATTTCTCTTATCACAATGAGATACGTTTCCTTCCAAATAAAACACCTTAAAAACGAGAAAATCGAAACAAAATGAGTTTAATGAAGAACCTTCTCGAGAAGAGAATCATGCTTGCTAGTTGATGAATTCAAATAGACTTGAAGATAGATCCATCCGAGAACGTGATAGGCAAGTTGTATTAAGTGAACTTGTTTCGCTCTAGTGGCATATTCCAAATACTTTTTCGCGTGTTCGATGGCACGTTTATTCTCATTCATTTCTATTACAACAACGATAGTATTATAACATAATAATCATTTATAACAACCAACTCACTACTTCAGTTATAATGATAATAAAAATTCTTATCACTTAGTGTATCACCCGTCTATCTCCTTCTTACTGACCAATCGGATATGTCCTCAGATCTTGCGAAGATAGAGCGAATATATGCTTAAGTAATGAACGATAATGAAGGCTTAAAACAACAACGTTCGATGAAACAAACCTGGATTAACGAATATCTCAGCAATGGCTCGATGTGCAAACGCGGCGTTTTCATCGAAAGCATTTTTCGTGTGTGACAGTCGGATCGCTCTTTGATAGTAATCAATTGCTTGTTGATATTCACCGATACGACGATATTCGTCACCCAATTCTACATATAATTCCGATAATAACGCATCATTTCGTTCGTTAGTCGACTTTGATATTCTTCGTTTCAACTCTACAACAGATCATTCATCAAAACTATTGATGGCCAACCAGTAAAAATATATTCCACAAATTGGATAGAATTTTATTCATTGACCGATAATAACACCAACCGCAAATTGCTTAACTCAATGTTCGATTGCCTGGAAACATTAAAAGTTGATGAAATGCACTAAATTAAGATTTTTATTAAAATTAATATCTTCAACACTGTCAGCAATGTTATTATTACTGCCTTCATTAGAACTGCCACCATACCTATACGTGTTACCATCACTATGACACTTCTCTCGGTAATATGCTTATAATTACTTAACAGTAATTATCACTGTTGACATTACTGTTGTTGGTATTATGTCTAAAATTATTAGCATCATTTTTATATTCACATTGATTATTTCTTGCTCTCATAATAATTATTTCATTCATTCAATATTTCTGTTATTTCGAAATACGCTAAAAAATCGAAATGCGATCATCACGACATCATAAGTCTATGATCATTAAAAAGTGAATGAATCACCTTACCGTGGATAGCATCGTTTTCATGATTTGTCCTCTTCTTACCCATTAATTACAACTTGGATTTGATCACTTATTGACATTCAGATCAGCACAATCCTCACAATCTGAATTAATTACGCCTTTTCCATCATCATCATTATTTGACATACTGATGAAAGATAAGAAACTAACAAATTTATAAGATGGAGAACTTATCATAAATCCATAATAACAACAACAACAATCAAATGAAATGAAATGTATTTTAATTTCATCCAATTATGTCAGTGGTTCTCAACCTTCTTCCCTCCCCCCGCAACCCATAGAAAATTTAAAGATGCCCTCGCACCTCCTACAGCAATTTATTTATGAATGAAACGCGACCGAAAGAATTATTTTTGAAGTATTGCCGGCTCTAAAACAATGTACGAGTTGAACTCCATCCTCGTCTGCTTCAATGAATAAAAAATGAAATCTTATCTTGCACCCCTACTCACCGCACCCCCTGGAATACCATCCCACACCCTTTGGGGGTGCATGCACCCTCGGTTGAGAAACACTGAATTAAGTTGAGAAATGATACGATTGTAATTTGAATTTTTAATATTCGCGCTGAACTTGTGTAGCGGATTTGCATTGAGGGTAGCCTTTTCGCCAACAAAAATTTTCTGATTGCGGTGGGTTGCTTATCAAATTATGCCGTAATCTGCCATTGTATCAATCAAAAGTCCGCATTTTACCGTACTCCGTAAGGGGTTGGTAATAAAAGCCAAATTGCACTTTTGAAGCGACACGGTCAGGTAGAGCACAGAGAAAAAGAGATCCAA